CGGGCCCGCTCCTCTGCGGCCCTGCGCCAGCCGCACTCGGGGGGTTTGCTGGGGTGACACCGTGGCATCCGTGAGTACTTCTGAGAAAACCGCTTGAGCTGCTTCTGCAAGTATTTCCTGTGGTCCACGGACCGGCGGCAAGGAGCTGATTTATCCAGAGCCGCTTTGATGTCGCTCGAAGCCAGGTTAACGAAGTTCAGTAGAGTTTTTACCTCGCTGTCCGATGCCATCTCACTGAATGCACCGTGCAGAGTTTCCCATGAAAAGTTTATAATCCTTCTTCAGACAAACCTTGGCAAACCTGCGAAACACGACAGGCAGACTTTTGAGCAAGAAGCTTTGGTTCAAACGGCACTAAGCAAATGGAGGGAGGGTAGGGGGACACGTCAAACTTCTCAGCCACGCACACAAGTTGTCGGTCAGCTCGCTTCCTCGCAGGGAAGCTGCTGTCCGTGCCCGCAGCCCCGCACTGCTGCCCCCGCACACACCGGCACGGGGAGCGGCTCTCGGCGGCCAGCTCAGCTCCTGATCCTGTTAGAGAGCGCTCAGGTGGACGGGAGCCGGGGTGGCCGCCCTGGGAGCGAGCACCGACACTCACCCGGCGTGCGGCAGCTTTTCTCACCGGTGCTGGCGGCTGCGTCGCTGCGGAGGAGAGAGAGCCCCTTCCCCGCTAATCTCGTTAGGCAGGTTACACACCGCCAACCTCGGCGGAGGCAGCCAGGGCCCGCCAGTGTTTGGATGTAGTTTAGCAAGCACTTGAGCAAGCTGAATGAATATCGACTCCAGCGAGTTCGGGGCTCTCCCAGGCCAATCAGAAGCCACTTTGCCAAATACAAAGCATCCCAATCAGGCATCAGCCTCCCCTCCTTGCATTCTTTGCCATCACAAATTGTCTCCATGGGGACAGCCGCAGAAAGACAGCTAATAAATACAATCATTTCCCCATGATTTCTACCATTCTCCCTATCCTCTTCACCCCGATGGAAACCTTTCATTTAAAAATTACACAATCCAAAGCAAAAATGCTGAAGATCAGTCAGGAAAGTTTAGACACCCTTTCCTCTTCATTCTCCAAAGCTGTCTGGGGGCTGATACTAAACATGCTTCATTGGCACAGGACAATATAATATGGGGACTGGACTAGCCTACTTTTAACCGTTCCCCATCACAGCTTTTTTTTTTTTTTTTTTTTTTTTTTTTTTTTTTTTAAGGGGAGGATGATGTCAGAAAAAGGTAGGAAAGGAACAAATCTCTAAAGAGATGTGCAGATATCCATGGAAAGGGAGCTTGAGCGCTCAAGAATCTTGTCTTTATGTTTGCCCCCTCAATTGAGTTACACAAAAGCTGAATTACCCATTCAAACTACCCGAACAAAAGGATGGAGTTGGATAGTACTCTTGCATCTGTAGTCAAACAGTTAGAGACTTAAATCGAGTCGTCATGATGGAGAAAGAGTTAGACAAAGCCCATAGAATTGCCATCAGCAAACATTTTCCTGTGTCATATTAGTGGGTCTCCATGACTCCCCCTGGCCTGGGGACAATAGCACAAGTTTGCACACTCGACTACTGTCACCCTGCCAACGCTGGCAAGGAGCAGAAACAGGACAATCCTTTAAGGGGAAAGCATGCCCGCTGCAGGGAAGGTAAGAAGAGAGGGAAGAAAAGGCGTGTGAAATGCTAATTGAGCTGCTTCCTTTATTGATCCAGAGTTATGCGAGCCCTCTGCCTTCTCGAAGGCTTGTCCCTAAGGGGTGACAATTACTTAAAAGCACAGTAAAACCTAGAGCTGGAGGAAAAGGAGAGCAGAAGAGCTGCCCTTGCTGTGCACTGATGACACAGAGCTGGCAGCAGCCTGTGTGCCAGCCAGCACCCGTGGCCTCCCACAGCTGAAGAAGCTTTGCTCCTGCTTTCCAGTCCCCAGTACCCTGGGCATGGGAAGACTGGATAGGGACCCAGGAGCTGTGCACCATCAACAGGGAGATACTGCCAGCTCTGAACCAAACACGGATGTGTGCTGGGGAAAGCAGGGACTGAAGTCCAAGACACTTTGCAAGTAAAATCTACTTTACTGACATGAAGCATCAAAGACCTGAGCACTGAGGGATGAAAACAGCCACATTTTACAACTATTTTACTGACCGTTGTTTTACTTTATTTCTATTTATCCAATTTTCATCAGAGGAAGCCAAGGCTGAGACTTTGCCATTATATGAAAGTCTGGGCAGAGGCCCATCGGATGTCTCTTCAGGATCACTGTACTGGTGCACTTATCCCTATTCACACCTTTTCTCTCAGTCTAGCCTGAGCCACATATGGTGGTGCCCAGGCTGAGGTGGTTTTGGTCTAGGGAGACCCTGGGGTCAGGACATCCTGCAAGAGAATCTGCTGCAGCAGAGAGCTGTTGGCATCACTGTGGGCTGTAACACGGTGTGTTACACTTGCAGGTGTGCCTCTCTCCTCCTAGTTAGTTTCTGTGTGGCCTGCACAGACACTTCTGTGTAGCTGAGGCTACAGGGAGAGGTTTTGTCTAGTTCATTCAAAGAGATGCACACCAAGGCATCATGTCCCTCTTTGCAGGAATGAATTGTGTCCTGTGCTCGAGCTTTCAAACCCAGCCTGGGACACCACATTTCATGGTGCAGTCTCCCACTAGAGGTAGTTGGTTTCCCAAGGCAGAAAAAGGGAGAGATAGAGAGATATGTGACAGGTGCCTGGGAGTCAAATATTACCTCAGTATATTAATGAACTATGTCCTCAGAGGCCCAGAAAACTTGTGCCACATATTATGAGACCTACATCCATTCACAGGGCTCCAGAGCCCTGGGCTGTGCTCTGGGCCTGAGGCTAGTGGGTCAGTTGCATTGAGGAGGATGGATGTGACTTGCCTGCTTACTGGGGGATACCAGACTCTCACACCTCCAACACACTCACTGCAGAAGCCCTTTCCAAGCTCCTGCACTACAGCCATACCCATCTTCTCCCGGAAGGATGCTCATACAGGATGTGGCTCCTTGGGCAGCACATGGCAGAGGTGGAGGAGCTCCCCATGCCTTGCTATGCTCGCTGCTCCACCATCCTGTTCCCCTGCAGCTGGTAACAGTGGGGTTCCAGAGGGGAATGAACCAGCAAGCAGATTTAAAAACCAGAGCAACCCACCCTCTCAAGGTCAGACTCAGGTTGAGCTGCACAGGGTTTTCTCTAAGAGGCCACCGGAGCCCTTTTGTTCCTCGCTGCTCTCACCATGTTCATCCCAATGTACATGTGAAAGGAACAATTAACAATAGGGCACTCCTCTATGAGGATCCAATACACTTTGAAGTGTCCACCAAGCAAAGGCTCAAGAATGATACATCATTTTCCACTGTGAGCATGTCAAACTAGTACAGCAATTGAAAAAATGTCTCCACATGCCTTCCCAGCATGCAGACAGGGACCAGCTGGAGAGCTACTTCATATCCGACATGTCACCTCCTGACAGCTGTCTTCTTGGGAATTTTTGGTATGTAAAGTTTTCTAACTCCTTTTTTTAAGTAAAGCACAAGAATAAATCTATTCACTTGAAAATTGCAGCCAGGCCTCTCCTAAAATGAAGTATTTCCTATGAGACTAAATGAAGAAGAGAGAAAAGAAGATTTTCTTGCAAAAAAAATGCCTGCAATTTTTTTGAAAGTGTCACTAATTGTAAGCCATGTCAACTTTTAGTCACGTCTACACCAAAATCTCACAAAATTTATTTCCAGGCTGAGGGGCCCATTCAGCAGAGGTATTCCAGATTTAGGTTATCCTGGACCATGTGAGCACACCCACTAACCAAAATGCACACCATTACCTGAGGCAGGGATCCCTCCCCCATAAGTGCCATGAGCATTTCAAATAGCAGGAACACCTAAATCATGCTGGTAAAGCAAAAGTCACCTCAGTGAACAACTAAGCAGTACAGAGATTATACAGAGGAGGAGAGAAGAAAAATAAATTTACATTGTTTTATAAATTTTTTTAACTCTTTTTCCCCATTTGGGTGACAGTCCTGTTACTCCTTGTTGAGCCTAATGGATGTGGACTTATAAGCAAAGAGAAAATGGGGCTCCAACTATTCTGAAATGTTAGACAGTTAACTGGAACATCTTAGATGGGCACATGTGAATTGTTCCTTTTCTTTGTCCAGTCCACTATGGGCAGTTAAAAGCAAAGATAATTCAGTTGTGTGATCTGTTTTCACTCACCTGCTGCCTCCTAAGCCTCTGCTTTGTCTTCACACTTGAAAAGGAGAGCCAGGAACCTGAGGGGACGTGATGATTCATGGTGAAACCAGAAGTACTGGCCTGGAGAAGAGTAGCATTGGAATGGAGGAAGACCACTAAACTCTTCCTTGGAGACCCTGATTTTAGATTGCATGTTGACAGAGACTGAAGTGAGAAGATGTTAATGATACACTCATGGCATAAAAATTGAAGATGTTACTTAGCATCATACTGCAAGAACTGGGTGACCTTAAAGGTGAATGCAATGGAAGAGGAAAGGATTGCAGGAGCCCTGAGCCACACACCTCAGGAGCTGATAGCAGAAATTTCTGTCACGAGGAAAAATGTCATTGTCTGTAAATGAGAAGGGAAATCAGGTAATAGGATAAAAATGAATCTCCCTCCATCTAGTCTGACCTTCAAAGTGTGTAGAGGGGAGAGGGACGAGGGAGAAAGGTGGTGTGATACTGATGGCACCCAATATCCCAAGGACCCCAAACTGGCTTAGAGCCTGGTCCCAGCCTGGGGTGGAAACTTACCCATCAGGACCTGCAGGTTCATTTGAAAGGGATGTCTGACAGTGGGGTGCAGCCAAAGGCCTTAGCATCCCTTCCTGCACCCCAGCACACAGGCACTGCAGACAGCAGCAGAGACATCTCTCCCTGGCACTGACATTCACACAGCCTGGTCCTGCTCCAGAGCTGAGTCCTGTAAGCTCAGGGAAAGAGAATATGGGATTTCTCCCCATTCTTGTGCTATCCAGTTGCGCCTTTCCTCACCCTCCACATCTTGTTGAAACTAACACCTCTGCTCCCAGGAAAACAGCAGCCTGGCACTCCAGCAGATGAAGCTTTGACTCTTTCCCCACCCTCCTCTTTTTTTTTTCCCCTCTCGACAGTCTGCTTTGACCTGAGTGACATCCTCTCTTTGCTTTCAGTCCCTGATTTTCTGCACTTGGGGACAGACTTTGAGCAGGCAGTAAGTGTTGAGGCCGTGCAGAGACAGCACGGGGGGGCTGCTGCTACCCCACAGCCTGCCATTCAGGCAGATGGTGGAGGGGGCCGATGTGAATAGCTCCTGTCAGTCTCATAGAGAGAACTTTACAATTGTGCTACGTGTTGGACTGCACGTGACTAATGCCATTCTTCTGCAGGCTGCAGGCAGGACACAGCTGTTTCTTCAAGGAGAATTTTGTTTTTCTGGACAGAAAAAAAGCACCCTTGACAATATTCTCTCCATGTAT